CTCATATTTAAAGGCGTGAGCCTCATATTTTTAGCCTCAAAAATACCACCTCAAGGCATACTACATAAGCCTCACAATGAGGCGGGCCTCACTACCGCCTTTTTAAACCATGCAGTGGAATACTTAATGTGGCACCATTTTGCTCTGCAGTGAAGTTATTAGACTGGGGAGAGGATGGCATGGCCACAGCTGCCGAAACTGCTGCTCTACGTGCATCATTTAAACAAGAGGTTGCAGTTTGGCACGAGCTTGATCATCCAAATGTCACAAGAGTAAATATCTGATTCCTTGATTTTCTGGTATTTTTCCTTTTTTAGAAATTGGGAAATCAAACAATTCCAGATCAGTATATTGCTTTTTATTTTGAGGAATGGCTCTCATGGCCTTTCTGTTTTATGGCGGAGATCTTAATCTTAAATTTCTGAACTTAATGAAAACACTTGCTTGCAGTTTGTTGGTGCTTCAATGGGGACTTCACAGCTCAAAATTCCTTCTAAAAATCCTTCTGAGGGTTATACCGACCTTCCGTCGAGGGCATGTTGTGTTCTTGTTGAATTTCTTCAAGGAGGGACATTAAAGAACTTCTTGTACAAGAACAGGAAAAAGAAGCTAGCTTTCAAAATTGTTACCCAACTTGCTTTAGATCTATCTAGAGGGTAACTTTCTCGTGGAATTTATATGAGTTGAAATTCTTTTAGGGAAATATTTACTTATCTCATGGTATTTGTAGACTAAGCTATCTACATTCGAAGAAGATCGTGCATCGTGACGTCAAAGCTGAAAACATGTTGTTAGACACTCATAGAACACTTAAAATTGCTGATTTTGGAGTCGCCCGCGTTGAAGCTCAGAATCCCAAGGACATGACCGGTGAAACTGGAACTCTGGGGTACATGGCTCCTGAGGTATTCACGCTGTCTCATAATTTTTTACATAATACTAGTAAATCACTGGCATAAATGTGAGTCAATTAACAATACTTTTGGCAAATAAATTATACTTTCATGCACACACCCTATGAAGTAGAGGCATAAATACCTTATTTTTTCATCAATATAAAGAAGCTAATGAGGTATCTTATCTTTTTAGGTACTTGATGGCAAGCCTTATAACAGAAAATGTGACGTCTACAGCTTCGGCATATGCTTATGGGAAATATATTGCTGCGATCTGCCTTACCCAGATCTTAGCTTTGCTGAGGTTTCTTCTGCAGTTGTTAGACAGGTCAGTTTGATCACTTCTAAGTTCTGCACGCTTTTTCTGTATTGCATTTCCATATATTCTCAAAATATTTCAGTTAACTACTGTATTTAATTGGATATTTGGATTTACTGGAGTGGAGAAGCACTTAAACCAAATCTTTCTTATTTCTTGATAAGTTGCTTATGTAATTTTTATTTATTTCATGTGATTTAGCATTCTAATAATAAGATAACCAAGTTATTGCCAATGTGTAGATGTGACACTGGAGCATTATGCAAGTTGAGCACATATTTTAAGTTTACTCTTGAAGCATTTGTTCAGTCAAGCTTGAAATTTAATGGCACGTGCACAAAATAATGTGGTCCTTGTTAATCACTGAAAAGTGTTTAATAAGGAGGACATGAGGAGAGGAAAACGTGGAGAGTTACAGAGGTGGTTTGGGTGCCTGAAGGAAAAAAGAGGCCACCTTTCACTCTTCACCATATGTATTTAAGAATATTCTTACTGCTTGTTCTCCAGACCCAGGCACAGTTTTAAGGGACGGAGATGTTTGAGGTTGAATTTTATATAAATTTTGGTAGGAATGCGGCTTACAGTGTGTTGGTAAAGGAAAAAAGGCTACATATGTTAGATATATTACTGATAAAGCCCTAATCCCCACTCACGAGAATAATAAGATCAGATATGAGAGCTATGTTCTCTTCGGTCCTACAGGTTTTTCTCTACAATGAAGAAGGTACATGGAGATCTCATGTCTCTCGCAAGGAAAATACGGCCTCCTAAAATCCTTCACATAGCAGGAATATTAGGGCGATCCAATACATGTATGGAATATCCAAATGACTAGCATATTATAGTAATAGTTAATGTTTGTAGGACCCCTTGGGTAGTTGGGTTTAGATATGAGCATATTTTACAGACATGAACGTGTGTACGACCTTGTTAGCAAGCCAGAACGGGTTCTCATTTCACGAATTCTCTTAAAATTAGGCTTGAGCTGCTCAGTTGGTTAGCTTAGGCATGTGACGGATTAATAGAAAGGTAGATTGTTTCCGCTGTAGAGGCTCTCCCCTCACCTTCTTTCCTTTCTGGTGGATTCCAAGGTTTCCTTAGAAGAGGGGGTTTGAAAGTGGCTCCATTCATTTTCAGCTGCAGTAAAGCCAATTACACAAAAGAAACATGTTCAACACTACGCAGATGTGATGTGTATACGCATGGAGTATCTTGAAAAATAATTATTCACACATTCTCAAAAATCATCATTAATTTTGGGGGAATTATTCACTGTTACTGGTTGCATCTATTAAACCAATATATTTATGGATAATGCTAGCCAGGTGTGGTGATATATTTGTGTGCTTCCTGAATCTTCTTCATCATACGATATTGCTAGCATTTCTGGTTGGGCCTCTTTGGTAACATCCAATGTATCAATATTTTAAACAAATATTTAGATTCTGTGCATACACCTACCCCTGTCTTTACATTTTTGAACAATTTCTTAAATATCATGCCCAGTTTCTGTTTGTCACATGATTTGCTGCTAGAAGCTTGATACCTGTATTCTCTGTTTTGGGCAGAATTTGAGGCCAGAAATTCCACGATGCTGTCCAAGTTCTTTTGCAAATATCATGAAAAAATGCTGGGATGCGAACCCGGAGAAACGACCTGACATGGACGAGGTTGTGAGGTTGTTGGAGGCAATTGACACAAGCAAAGGAGGTGGAATGATACCAGAAGACCAGGCTGGAGGCTGTTTCTGCTTTGCTCCTACTCGGGGTCCATAAAAATTTTGTTATCTGTTCACGCTTCTCTTTCAGTATATGTCTTGGGAGATTTGTTGATGAATGTTGGAAAACTCGTTGAATTTGTCCATGATTTGAAATAACTGGTGAAAAGTTCGAATAATATGTTTGATCTTTTCATGAAAATATTTGTGTTTACTTTTACTTATTCTCGTGTTTGGTAACTGTGTAGTTTGGATCCTACATTTTTACCTGTTGCCTAAATGAACATAATCTATTTCTACTTCACTCTGATATGGAAAAACTCGGTATAGGCCCATAGAAACTTAAATCCTTGCATGTTTGAGAACCCTATTTCATGTCCATGTTTCCTCGTACATTCCCATCGATTATGTTATGTATACCCAGGATCAATCTTTCATACTAGTGGCATCAAAATGTGCTGGACTTTTCGCATCAAAATGCGTCAGGCCACGCTTTAGACACGACCTACATAGTTCTTGGTGTGCAAGGCCACTGGGGGCTCGAGCTGCCATGTATACATTGCTAATGTTCGAAATATGTCACATAAATAAACACAGTTGATTTCCACTTTGGCCAAGGATGTGCGTGGGAGAAGACAAAAAGGTGGATTTCTACTTGGATGACAAGTGATTCGGTACACACTTTTGTTGTCAGAATCTAGTTAGGTGCGTGCACGTAATCTTCTAATTTTCTTCAGATAAGTTTCATGTTTACAACTGCATCAACTTATAAACATTGATTCAAGTTTCTTCTTAATTTAAAGTCGAGCCTCGTCTCCTTTACTCTACATAGTTAGAAGCCACGAATACAATATGAACGAATTAGCCTTGCCTTCTAAATTTTTCTCTTGGTTCACACCATAGTCTGGACTCGTTTTTATTTTATTTTCGTATTTTGTCGAAGCCCGGATAACAAGCTTGGGCTGGGTCGCGTGCGTTCAGACTTTTCACATATTGGCCCTCCGGGTTTATGAAATGGACAAGTTTTTGTGCTTCAACAGCCGTTTGGCGATCATCTAACTATCAGGATAATTGTTCCTTTTTATCATCTAACTAATGTATTGATTCTATTATTCCATAATTCTTTGATAGTCAGCAATGAATAATTATAGCTTAGAAGCATGCACAAGAAAAAACCAATACGTAAAGATAGGGCATATGTGGAAGAATTATGCTAAATGTACATTCCATTGTATACATTTTATTGTATTTTAAGAAGTGTTGGGATGGAAAGTGTGTGTTTTTTAATACTATTCAATTATGTATCGCCACGTAACACGATATCAAAAATGATATAAACAAAGAAGTACATGTATCACGATTATACGTGGAATCCTATTCTTATACTTTGTTCCAGTCAATAATGCACTAAATTTTCGTGGCAGACCGGAATTGAAGTACTTCATGTCTATTTGCCCAAATGTTAGGCATTCTTTTGACTAATATAAAGTGGCCACTCCATACCACTATTTTTTGTTGGCTTTCCAATGAGGATAATATTGATATCGACATTTAATAGAGATATATGGAATCTACAAATAGATCAAATTCACATAGTAGTAATAAAGTTGGAGCAAGAGTAACAATATGAAATTCGCTGGATCAATAGCCCCCAAAACATCATAGTATCCATTGGAACACAGTTCAAGATGGGATATCACGGTTTGATAAAGTTAGCCCTCTAGTATTATTCAATTATTTGAACAAAATCTGTTGTTCACGGGTTAGTGTTAACCATAGATCGAACAAGTGTTAGAATGTGTTTTGTTTGATAGTAGCATTCTTCGTTATTGAACTGCATCATGTGTGTGTCGTGACCCTTTGCACTTCAAACTCTTGCGATGCCAAGATGGACGTAGTTATTTGTTTGCTAATTTAACCAAGTAATTATACTAAACACGTTATGATAACTTGTATTTTAACCAAAAAAAGAGGGTAACAAGAAATGGTATTAAGTAGCTTTTGTTTCTTTCTCATCTTATCACCTTTTGTTGTCTTATTTCATACGGAAAATAATTGTAGCTCTAAACCAGGCTAGATACATGTGGACAACAATAATTCAGTCTAGATACATTTTCACCTAATCATGGACAAAAAATTGTAATTTTGACACTTAAATTAAGGGATCATTGCAGCAAAAGCCCCAAACCTTTCAAACACTAGTAGATTTTTTTCTAACCTTTGATTTGTTGCAATCGTCACCCCTAACCTTTTCAAACGTTTCAGAGGAGGCTCTCTTGGACGGTTTCCGTCCAAACGTCCGTCAGTTAATTACCCAAAAAAAGTCTGACCACGTTTTACCAAAATATGGGAGGGTAAATTCGTCCATACACTTTAAACACTAACCTCCATCTTCATTTTGGAATTGAAAAATACAGGGCGACCCGTTATGAAGAGATCAAAAATTTCAAAGAACTTGACGATGGGGACGTCGAATAAGCGTGCCATCTGAAAGGATCACTACCTGAACTTGTCTATGGTACGATTTTGCAAGTGTCGTATTTTCCAGTTATAGTTAAGGGTAAAATTGTACAAAACGTAGTATTTGTGATAAACCCTTATACTTGAATGTTGGGATCGTTATGAAGAAGTACTAAAACCCGTTATATTTCTCGATTTTGTGATTTTGATGTTTGTGATGAATGCAGTGGGTAAGGGTTTTCAAAAATTGCATGAAATTGATTGTTTGGACAAATTTTTTTTTTAATAAGTATGTAGGGAAGTGTATTGTGATGACCATATTTGTTCTAACTAGACTTGTGTAATTTTTTCCTTTTCAGGAGAGAACTCCACTTATTTCACGATTCGGCTTAACCATCGTGGGATTCTTTTTATGCGAAATTACATGTATAAACACGGTAAGATTAGCTATCTTGATTACATGGATCCAAATTTCTTCAATCATTTTCTGTTAGACAATACAATGAAGATGTTGGGTTACAGTGAGCCAATGAAATATGTATATAGGCTTGAAAAGAAAAGATTAGTAGAAGGATCATTTTGGTTAGTTACTGATGCAGACTTCATGAATGTTGTGAAATGTCTTGGTCCTACAAGAGTTGCACATATGTATTGTTTGGCGAAACCGACAGAAATATTGGAATTATCATGGGATAAGAAAGTACCAACTGGAGTTGTTGTGACTGATATGGAAACTTGTGAGATTTTGGAGAGTGTTAGTGTCAACAATGAAGATATGGAAGTCAGACACAAAACTTTATTTGCAGTTGAGATTTTTGATGACACAGTAGATGTTGATGATCTTTATGTGGTTGATGAATTTGAAGAAGATCATTTGTATGAATATGACGGTTGGATAACAGTGGACTTGGTGAATTTCACAATGTGGATGTAGTTGAGGTAGAGGTAAGTGCAAATGATCAACATGTGAGAAGTCAACCTCTGATCTACCATGTTCCTTTGAAAATGCAGTAGAAGATGCTCGAGATACACAGTTTGAGCATCCAATAGTTGACAATGAAAGGGCTGGTTTCGCTGAACCATCAACATTTGAGAGTTCAACCTTCGATGAATCATCCACAGTTGAGAGTGCAACAGGAGTGGAAGATCCTAGAGATACACAGCTTGAGCAGTCCACGGTTGATAAACCATCCATAGTTGACAGTGGTACAAGAGTCGAAGATGCTGAAATGTTAGGCCTTTTTATGCACTTGTTGAACCCTCTATTGTAGAAGACATTAATTCTCAAAATACTAGCACTGGGTATCCTGGTGATAAGTCAGAAATAGAAGAGGATAATGAGATTGGTCTAGAACATTTTTCAGATTATGAATATGAACATATGAAAGAGGATAACCAAGATAAAGACACATTTTCAGATTGAGTGAGGGATTAGATTTAGGGGTGGGGAACACAGGCAATGACCAACCTCGTGAGTAGAATGAAAACGCAAAGAACAATTGTATAAACTACGGGGATTCAGATGACCTAATAAGCATTTCAAGTGGTGATGAAGCGGGTGCCACATCTAACAAAAGAAATGAAGTTTGGTTCAACCCTATAACTGACATGGAGGACCCCAAATTCAAGATTGGTAAGTGAATTGTAGAATGTTTAAAATTTTAGGGGCCTATGAACAAAGTTTTGTAATAGGTTTGGGGCCTTATCTGCTTATTTTTAACAAGTTTAGGGCCTGTTATGCATTTCATCATAATATGTTTAAAAGGTTCTCATGTGCTTTACAGGTATGAAGTTTGAGAATGAAAAAACTTTGAGATTGAAAAAACTTTGAGATCAGCTATTGTCCAATACTCCGTGAAAAATGCAAGAGAACTGAGATATGTGAAGAACGAACCACATAGGATAAGAGTAAGATGTCAAGAGAATTGTTCCTAACAATTGTATACCTACAAACAGCTAGACAACAGCTTAAGAATCAACACTTTTAGAGATAAACATAGCTGCACATTGGCCTGGCAAAACAGTGAGGTCCATGTAGGTTTCTTGGCCAAGAAATACCTACGAAAGTTCATGTCGGATCCTAATTTGTCTATGAGTACCTTCATGGAAACTGTGAAGCAAGATTACATGTATGAAATATCCAAATATCAGTTTTATAGAACAATGGCAAAATGTGCAGTAGTGGTGAATGAACTTGTTGAGGAACAGTGCAAGATTCTATGAGACTATGATGACGAGTTGAAGAGAACTAACCCTGGAACTACAGTGCAAGTTGAGGGAACATGATGCGTGTTTAAAAGAATGTACACGCTTAGAGGCTTGTAAAGAAGGTTTGAAGGCTAATTGTAGGCCTATGATAGGACTGGATTGGTGTATTTTGAAGAGTGCACATGAGGGCAATTATTGGCAACAGTGGGGATTGATGGTGGTATTTGTATGTTCCCAGTTGTTTGGACAGTTGTGGATGCAGAGAATAGAGCTGTTTCGCGCGGTTACTCACTAACAATTAAAAAGGGATCAGACGATTGTGTAAGGGACAAACCTCTTGGAACAAAGTCTCAAAAAGGGGTGTTTATTGAATATGAAGATTACACTTTGGACACGAACAAGATGCCTCTAAGGGGCGCAAGCA